GACTTTGAATGGATTCTACTTTGCAACTCCTAATTAATGTCCACCTTTCTATCTTAAGGTGCCCCTTTATGTTACGTGAGTGGTTGTAACCAACCCCGTTGTAACAATTCAACAAATACCCTCTCCATTCACTTGCTCCCAAATAATCAGCCCAAAGGAGGGGATCGCGATTTCGATGGTCATTGAACAGGTACTCTGCAGATTCGCTCATAATTTGGCCTGCTTTCGCTGAAAAGACAAGGTTAGAACAACCTCTGCTATAAGAAGAGGGGAGGGAGGTTTCGATTAAAAGAGTGGAGCATTAGCGTACCTCTATGTCTTGAAAGCAAAGCCTCAATGAATGCCATATTTACACGAAGACGCTCAGCCTCCCTTTCTACCTGCGCCTTCACGTAGTGGTCTTCAGCATATCGGCTCTTCTCTATCTGCGAAATAATGGAGTCAAGAAGTGCGAGGACACACCCCTCCACTATTTCTTCCCTGCTGTTAAGGAATTTGTAGGACATATCTTAAAATAGCTGAGAAGACTTCGGTAAATGCTGATGAACTGTTCTTTTGGAACCCCTGTGCTTAGATTTTCAATATCATCGAGTGCTTGACGACGAATATTGTCGTTCGCGTTCTCGAGATCAATGAACGATTTTTCAATTTGGGATGAAAAATCCGTCTAAAATTGGAACAAAATTGAGTAATAATCATATGCCTACTTCTATTCCATGCAGCTATTAGATGTGAATTTACAATATACCATCTGATGCACTGTAGATTCAAGGGCAAAACTTTCACCTTTTAACGGGATTAATTGAAGTCAAAAACGAAATGAGATGCCCTTGATGCAAGAAATACCCTTACGGCTGTTTTCGTAGACTTCGAATCAGCATATGACTTAGTATGGAAAGAGAAGCTAATTCTAAAATTGGTGCAAGAAATACCCTTGCGGCTGTTTTCGTCGATTTCAAACGCATATGACATAGTATGGAAAGAGAAGCTAATTCTAAAATTGGCATATGACTTAGTATGGAAAGAGAAGCTAATTCTAAAATTCGCAAAGATTGGTATGAAGCATAACATGCTAAACTGGATTACGGCATTCATTTGACAAAGATCATGTAAAGTCAGATATGTAAATGCTCTATCAAAATCCAATCTTTTACAAACAGGCCTTCCACAGGGAGCTCTTTTCAATGTCTCCATCAATGACATAGTCGAATTGGTAAAGCCAGTCACGGGCATCAAGTGCTTACTTTACGCTGATGATCT